GTGCCAGACCTGCATACAGCAAGCTCCTTGAAAGCAACATTTTTTTTTTCATTTCTCTTGTCTCTGATGCTCACAGTGCACGGCACAGAGTGGGTGCTTTAAAAATGTGTGACGAGTAGGTGAGTGGTTAGATGGATGGATAGATGGATGGATGGATAGATAGACAGATGGATAGGCAGGAGGCTGGGGTGGGTGGGTGAGTAGGTGGATGCGTGAATGGATGGACGGGTGGATGGATGGGTAGACAAGTGAATAGATGGATGAACGGACAGGTGAGTAGGTGGGTGAGTGGATCTATGCATGAATGGATGGATGGTCGGACAGATGGATAGGCAGGTGGGCGTTTAGGTGAGTGTTGGATAGATGGATGGATGGATGAACAGACGAATGGATGGGCAGGTGAGTGGGTAGGTGAGCAGGTAGATACATGGATGGTTGGATAGACAGGTAAATGGGTGGATGGATGGATAGTTGGTCAGGTGGAGGATGAACGGACAGACAGACAGGTGGGTAGGTGGGTGTGTGGATGGATGAACAGATGGACGGATAGATAGGTGGGTGGGTAGGTGAGTGGATGGATGGACAGATGGATGGACAGATGGAAGGATGGACAGACGAAAAGAGACAAATGGGCAGGTGGGTGAGTAGGTGGATTAATGGATGGTTGGTTGGAAAGACAGGTGGATGGATGGATGGATGGATGGATGGATGGATGGTTAAATGAATGGATGAATGGATAGATTGGGTGAGTGGGTGGATGGATGGAAGGATGGATGGGTGGAGCAGGCAGATGGATGGATGGATGGAGGGAGGGAGAAGGCAGGCAGGCTGTCCTGGTGATTGGCAGACAACAAAATGGTTAGGAACACAAAGGCTTCCTGCTGCTCTTCTGGTCCCCACCTTTGCTGTGTCCAGGCATAGACCAGATGGCAGTGCCTAGGCTGTGGGGCATGTTCCACCCAGGGTAATAGGAGATGGGGGGCAGAATGGGGCACAGCACCCTTGGCACGCTCTCCCTGCATATGTGGTAGGAAGGGTGGTTTGGTCCCCTTCCCTGATACCATTGTGGATTGGCTTTTTGTGACTTGGCTGAGCTTGTGCATGATGCCACCTGGGCAGTCTTCCAGGCCTCACCAGCTCTTACCTGGGTGTTGCAGGCCTCCCCAGCACCTCCCACCTGTCTTGCTGTTCTTGAGAGTTCCTGTTCTCTACTAGGGAATAGAACTTGCTTTCCTGCTGTTTAATATTTAAGTCTATCATGTTTCAAACAAAGTGCAAGATAACACAGTGAGGACGCACCCTCCCAGCACCTAGCTTTAAGCTCAGCTTTCAGTCATAACTAAACCATTATGTTTAAAAGAAACACAACGTGGGAGATGGCGCTGCAGCCCCTGCCTGACTTTGCCCTCCTGGAAGTCGGCCTGCGAGACTGGCATTCTCAGCACTCAGGAACCAGGGAGCGATGGCCACACAGCAAGCTCATGCTTTCTGCCCCTGGTCGACCTATGCTGCTGCTAAGCCACACCGGCCTTCAGGGCTCCTCTTCTTATCAAATTTAACCCAGGTGGCTCCAGGTCTTATGTCCCCCCTGCTGTCGGGAGCTCGTAGGCCACTGTGTGAAGGCTCAGATCCCTCACCTCCTGGTGGTGGGTGCTAGTTCCAGCTCCAGKCTATTTTGGATGAAACCTCAATAAACACTCTGTGCCCAGTGAGCAACTTTGGGTGAGAAGAACTGCTGGGGTGCAGGTAGCCCCATCCTAGATAGACCCGTCCCCATCATAGGACTCAAACACAGACACTCCACAGAGGGGTTCCCGGACCCTGCACAGCGCAGCCCTGGGCCTCTTGCTGCGCTAAGTTACATTCGTGCTTCAGACCCACCGGGCACCGCCTCCCCCCAGGCTTTCTGCATCCTGTTCCAGCCATCTAGAACTTTCTCCCTCCTTCCTCACCACCCTCTCCCTCTGCCTACCTGCTGATGCTTGCTTCTGTATGATAGTCACCAGAAGTGTCCCTCTGAGGGTCCCCTCCCAGGGAGATGTTCATTGTCATTTAGGTGCATCCTGTTCCCAACCATGCAGGGCCACCCCTGTCCCGTTCTTGGGGCCTGATCACTCAGACAGGAGGACAGAGCAGGGAATGGCCAGCCTCCATTCCCTAAGTAGGTTTTTATCAAAGTATGACTCATGCAGGAAAATGTACTCTTCATGCAGAGAACTGTCCTGTGAAGGGTTTTGTTGGGTTTTAAAAATATGGTCTCTTTTTGTGAGTGTCGTATGAATTCAACAGTCACGGTTGACAATTCCATTGTCCCCCAGATACCCCACGGCCCCTTTGTGATTGCCTTAGCAGCCACTGGTCTGCCTTAGCTTTTTCTAGAACATCATCTAGATGCCCCTGTGGGGTGCRGCCTTTGGAGTCCATGGCCAGCGTCTCAGTCACGTGTCAGGAACTGTGGACAAAATAGCAGTAAGTCGCAAGAGACTTATGTTAAATGTGAGCCTTTATATAAACAAGTACGTCTCAATACAGTTTAATAGCCACTCGTTTTTTAAAATGTCAGATTCATGCCACATTTACTTAGTGGCAGTCTCATGGCAGGCCGTTCCTCGTGACAGCCCTGTCCATAGCTGTCAGGTGAGGAGACCAGGGGCCCCTCCAGGGTGACCAGGAAGGTCCAGCATCATTGCTGTCAGCAGAGCCGCCATGACAGTGGCCCTTCCCAGCCCAGAACTTCATGCCCGGCTTCAGACGCCGCCCCTTGTCTTGTGTAATCGCTGCAGAGCCTGGAGCAGAGCCTCTTGCCTTCTGAGTGGGCCTTACTGGGGTGGGGGTGGGAGAGAGAAGGAAGCCATGTTTCCTCTGTGCTGTCCAGAGCCACACAGGCCACTGCCCTCTCCCTGCCCAGGTCCCCGACAGGACCCTAGGCTTGGCCTGGTCATGCTAGTCCTGCTACCAGGACCACAGTGCTTCCCAGAAGCTCTCTGGAGGGCTGGCCCCATGCGTGCTCCAGGCTTCGAACCCACAGTACCTGGGGTGGGCTCAGCCTTTGTCTGCAGCCATGGTTGGGCGCTCCAGGGGACGCCAGCTGTGTGTGCTGAGTGCCCCCCACCAGTTCTTTCTTCCAGGCTGAGAATTCCTAGAAGAGGGAACTGTGGGGGCCCTGGAGGTAATTGGTGCGCTCTGCCTGTGCAAACGCGCAAACCAGGCAGGGAGGCAAGGAAGCCGCCAGCATCCGGGGTCTATGAGCCAGGCGGCCATGCTTTCGACCTTGCTGTGGGTTAAAGGACACAAACCTGAGGAGAAATCTGTTTATCATGTGGGGATTCATGCCGTCCCTGACAGTGCACAGGACCAAGATGGATGATCTGCCAAATKGGTCCCTCGCATGGGTGAATCAGGGCAAATTTACAGTACGATTCCTTCGCTGCTTCAGATACAAAAACAGCATTTGCAGGGTTTTATATCCAGTTGTCTGGTGACCCGGGGGTGAGCAGAGAGAAGCAATCCGATTTGTAGGATTCATATTGCCTTAAAGATGGATACAGACCATCTCTGCCTGTCACGTCTGTCTCTTTTACATTTCTCACAAACCAGTTTGGTTGTTTTTTTAACCTGATTCTCCAGGCTGGGGACACAGCTTTCTGTGATGGGGGACTTTGTACTCGTTCAGGACAATAAGCAGGTTTATCAGGTTGAATTTTAGCTGTCTTACCTGAAGTCTTAGGGTTTCCAGGTATCCACATAGAACGCACCTGGCACTTGGAATACAGTCGCATATGGGAAATGAAATCAAATTCTTCCCACTGTGACATTCCCTCTTTAGTCAGGGGACAGTTTGGGAGTGTCTGCCTGCGTGCTAATGTTCCCAAGGGGCCTGCTGGGGCCTGAGGAGTAGCAGGAAGAAGACCTTGAGGCCTAGCCCTCTGTGCCAAGCCACAGGGCTCAGGGGCCACATGACCACACCTGCCCCAGCCCCTCATGCATGGCGCTGAGGGGCTCACCATGTGTGGRGCTCGGTGGGGTGAAGATTGTGCCAGACACCAAGCTGGCCAGGRCAGGCTGGCCTTGTGGGTAGGACCCCGGTGCTGAGTCACCTCACGTTTCCCCCCATYAGTTCTTCTCTGTCTTTGGAAGTGGCCAGTCTATCCAACCCCCAGAACTCCACTGAAGCCTGTTGTGTCCTGTCCCAGGTGAAGGGAGAAGTCTGGGGCAGCATCCCCCCTGTACCCCAGCTGCACCCAGCACAGCAGAGGCCCTCGTAAGCAGAGGAGCCTGTGGAAGCTGACAGCCTGCCCTGGCCGGTCACTCTCAGTGAGGGTCACGGCACGGAGGGACAAAGAAGTTCGTGTTCCCAAACCAGTGATACAGGGATCCCCAGGRGCTTGGTACAGAGTGGACGTTCCTTGGATCTCCCCATCTCTGCCAGAGTTGGTGACYCCTCAAGCAGTCACAGTGTACCACTCCAAGCTCCCAAGACCTGAGTCCCTCCGTGCCACCACGGGACCAGCAGCCAGACCTTGGGTTCAAGGGTCTTCATACTGTGGTGACCACACATCAAGACAGCCCTCACTTAAATAATCTATCCATTMTTTTTATTCTGGAAAATACAAAATAATTACACAAGTTATAATGTAGCCACAGTCCTTCTGAATTATTAGAATTATGGGTTTCATTAGAAGAAATCATGACAGTGATAACACATGATTAATATGACAGATATTTCTTAGCAAAATGCCCTGATATTAAGCCTTCAGAAACCTTTTATTTAAACCTCTAGGGTTTTTTTCTTGTTAGTGTTATTTTTGTTCTTTTAATACAGAAAATTAGAGGTTACTCTCAGTCAAAAAACTGTGCAACAACATGCAAAGATCCATCGACTTTCACACTGCGTGGCTCCGACACGGGTGTTTAATTAGTGTTTCCTTGGGAAGGAAAGGAGATGTACGTGGTGAAAGACAGCTCTTCTCAGCTGCGGCTCTTCGTGTGTTTAATTGCAGAAAGCACTCCAAAGACCTCCGCCAGCTGCAGCCCTGCCCCCGAGTCCCCGATGAGTTCCAGYGAGTCCGTGAAGAGTCTGACAGAGCTGGTCCAGCAGCCCTGTCCCCCCATCGAGACCAGTAAAGATGGCAAACCACCAGAACCCACCGACCCGCCGGCTCCAGACTCCCAGCCTACAACCCCTCTGCCTCTCTCCGGTCACTCAGCCCTCAGCATCCAGGAGCTAGTAGCCATGTCTCCAGAGCTGGACACCTACGGCATAACCAAGAGGGTTAAGGAGGTGCTGACGGACAACAACCTTGGTAGGTGCCCATTCCAGCTGTTTCCTCCCTGGGGTGCCATGATGAGTGGGGGGAGTGGCTGGGGGCGCTCGGGTAGGGCACTCGCTTAGCACGCACAGGGCCCTGCATGCTTGCCCAGCAGTGCAAAGAAATACGTAAATAACACGAACCATCTTAACTGCCCTACAGCTACAGACACTGAGGGGCTCATGCAGGAACGAGAGCCCYATAGGTTAGTCCCAACCCCTCTCCTCCCCAGGATCTGGTGGCCAGAGCGATGAGGTGGCCCACTCAGACCATCCTCAGTGGGCACCAGACCTAAGTAGATCACTCAGCCCCTCAGCATCAGTGGCTTCCTAGAGAAGGCTGGGCGCCTGGGTCCCCGCCAGCCAGTTCCCAGCTTTGTGTCTGGTGTGGGATCAGCGCTCGCACCCCTCAGTGAGACTGGCATGCTCCCTGGCTGCTGGCCACCACCGTCCTGGGTCTTGCTATGGTCCTGCCACCTCATGAAACCATCTCCAGGTAGCCCAGGAAAGCTAAGACTGTCACCTTCCCTCGGTGTCAGGCCCCAGCCAATGCAGCCTCCTGGGCACTGCCTGAGGTAGCTCCCTGAGGGCGCTGTGTCACCCCTGGGCCACAGCTGGGGCCCTCGGAAGACGGGTGTCTCACCACGTCCCACCACGGTGCCCTTGCAGCGTCAGTGGGCAGAGACTGGAAGCAGCCTCCTGGCCCTTAGGCCCCCATTATTTTCCAGGTGGAAACACGAGGAGGTGCGCAGCATCTCCACTGCTGGGCCCCGCTGATAACCACAGGGGGCTGGGATTTGGTTGGGACCTTCAGGAGGTGCCTGTGTGCCTGTTTTCTCACAGGAGATGAGAGTGGACAGGGGTAGCTGAGGTCAGTTGGCTGACCTGGTGGCCTACAGCCTGGGCTCAGAGCCCCCACCCCAGCTTTGTGTAATACATTTGTCCAGATAGCAAGGAGAAGTGGCACCCACTGAGAATGTCTGTAATTAATTTAATTCATAAAAATGAAAATGTAGCTGTTGGCTTTAGCACATGGCCCGAGTCCCTGTGTTCCTGGGTTATTAAAATGTGCAGGAATCCTAGGCTTGAGTTGGCCCCTCCTTCAGTCTTGTCCCAAGTCCAAGGAAGCAGACCTGGTACGACACCCCTGCCCACCCTGGAGAGGAAGCATGTAAACAGAATCCACCCAAGAAAATTCTCATTTTAAAACCCCAACTGGCAAAAGCAGAGTTAAGAGACGCAGAGTGACACCCCACTAGGCCTGCCGTCCACCTCTGCGTCCTTGCGGGAGACTTAGTTGGTGCTCATCATACACAGCCTGAGTAGCACCCGCAGGCTGCAGAGCTTCCAAATGTGCAAAGCACAGTCCAGTGATCTGAGGAAGGGCTGCTCCCCAGACCGGGGGCTGCCTCCTCTGTGAGCAGGAACTTCCAGAAAAGCCTACAGCAGTCCCTGGACTTGGCCCTCAGGCAGTCCCTAGGTTGCTCTGCCTGGTCTCAGTGATGCAGGAACAGCTGCTCCCTTCCAATGGGGCTGTTGGTGGAGTTGGGGCCCCAGAGAGGCCACCCAGGGCTGAACTCAGCAGCAGAGCTAGCCCTTGGTCAAGACCCAGTGTCCTCCCAGCTTGGCCTGGGGTTTTGGCTTGTTCACAGTCAGTCCCTTGAAACGTGCCAAATCGGTGCGTGTGGGTGCTTCTGGGTAAGGGTCTGTAGCTTCCTTCAGGGTCTCACACAGAAAAATGATTGAGACCCACAGCCAGTTACGCTCTCAAAGTGATGCAGATAATTTTCTAAGAATAATCACTTGATAGTTTTCCCCCAGGGAGGCCCAGAAAATAGAAACGAGCTTTTTGTACGTACCRCTCTCCCGACAGAGCAATAGCGAGCTCTGCGGAATGAAGAGAGATTAGTGTGCCCCATTAGAATTAAGTAAAATTTATTTAAATCAACTACAACGACAACAAAAAAACACCTGGCAAGGACTTGGGCATTTACAGGCTCAATGAAGAGTGTGCAGAAGCCATTGTTTGGTTTTTAGGTTTTGGTTTTATGGTGTTGGGAATCGAACATGCCAGCCAAGCCCTTCACCACTGAGTGACACCCTCAGGCCCAGTAAATTTACCTTTAAAAATTAAAATGACTCCCAGCAGCTCAGGACGCTGAGACAGGAGGGTCATGGGTTCAAAGCCTTCCCTAGCAACAGTGAGGTCCTGCCTCTAAATAAAATACAAAATAGGGCTGGGATGTGGCTCAGTGGTCAGTGCCCTGAGTACAATCCCTGCTACCCCAAAGTAAATAAATAAATAAAATGACTGATATAAAAATATTTTTTCTATAATCAGAAGCTCTTCGCACGATACTCCTTCACCTGGAGGACCCACATTTCACAGGCAGAGCCACCCACCCAGTCTTCTTCCTCACCTTACCTGGGAGCTCAGGATAATGTTTCCATTTCCCAGAGGGTGGACTTGGCCCTGAAGGGTCTCCCTGCTGCCGTGGGGAATCAAGGCTCCCTGCCCAAGAAGTCCATGTTCTGGACACTTGGTGGAGCCAGCTGCTGGCCTCTCTGGCCCCGTCTCCATTTCCACCTGAAGAGTCCCATTCACTGAGCTCCTCCCGTTCAGGTCAGGGGAAGCAGTGGCTCTCCCCACCCACAGCCGCAGGCCCTGGGAGAAGCTGACCTTCCTCCAGGCCTGCRAGCCCTGCAGACTGGGCGCTGCTGCACTCTCCACAGCCACAGGGCTCTGTGACCCCCGCCTGGGAGCAGAAAGGGCACCAGGAGGGATGCAATCAGCTAGGGCCAGGCTTGCAGGAGTGGCTGCCTGCCGAGGCAGAGCTGGGATGCTCCCGCCTCTCTCCAGCTGTGACCTGGTCAAGTGCCCTGTCTTCCCAGCGAGACCCATAACGCTGCTAATCAAGAAGAGACACAGGCACCGCTGGGTGGGTACCCAGGAGGGTCGCCCTGTGCTACTACTTGGGCTTGGGGACTTAACTGCCTCTGAGAAATGCCCCAGGTGGCATTGAGACTCAAGTTCATCCGGTGCCTGAAGGCTTTTCTGAGAGAAGAGCATCACGTGTTGGGTAAACACGGAACGCAGGCCTGATGCCAGCTCCCTTGCCAGTGGGGTCTTTTGCCAGTGTTTGGGGACTGGGGTGTGCTCAGTGGCCAAGCACTTCCTAGCATGCATGAGGCCCTGGGTCCATCCCCAGCACCACAAAAAGAAATGTTTCTGCAAAGGACCAGCTCTGAGCCAGGCCCCAGCTGGCCAGACTGTGGACCACTGATTTTAACTTGATTTTAACTGATTTTAACTTGACCCTACTTGTCTTCCCAGATCCCTGGCCCTTGGTGACCGTCTCTTGCTTCCATTTTCCCTATAGGTCAGCGCTTGTTTGGGGAGACCATCCTGGGGCTCACCCAAGGCTCCGTCTCTGACCTCCTCGCCCGCCCTAAGCCCTGGCACAAGCTTAGTCTGAAGGGACGGGAGCCCTTTGTCCGGATGCAGCTGTGGCTAAATGACCCCAATAACGTGGAGAAGCTGATGGACATGAAGCGGATGGAGAAGAAAGGTAACCCCCACCACCCACCACCGGGGGGGGGGGCTCCTCCTTCACGATAGCTGTTGGGTTTGGTTTGGTTGGTTGGTTTTATCGCAGTACCCAGATGGAACCCGGAACCTTGTGCATGCCAGGCCAGCCCTTTGTCACTGAACGACACCAGCAGGCCCTTTCTTTAAGTATTCCACACAGAGCTAATGAAGCCATGGGTCCCTGACCAAGGCACTATAGGGCAGGGCAGAGGGTTTGGGGGTAATCATCAGCCAATGAATACCTGAGAGAACTGGGAAGACCCATGGCTGCCTCTGACCAGCAGCCTGAATGTGAACTCTCTTAACACTGAGGGCAAAGCACAGGTGACAGCTTATTTGCTTGTGGGTGGGGTGTTCCAGCGTCTGCTGCACATGTAGCACATGCTATCGACTTCCCTGTGTTATTGGAGAGACGGGTAAATTAGGAAACYCGAGTTCAGAGAGGTTGGTGCCTCCACTAAGGTAACCCAGCCCTGCAGTGGAGAGCTGCATCTGCGCCATCTCCCTGAGCGCTACCAGGGTCCCCATTCCCTCCCATCACCTTCCGTAGCCCACGGGGTGGTGAGTCCAAATCCCTCAGGTGCAGATGGATGCCAGTGATGACCACCCTCCTCTCAGCTAATGCAGAGGGACTTAACACAGTATGGCCATCACCAGTACCCATGTGGCTCTGCCTGGCCCCACACCCAGGGCACCTGAGCCAGAGATGGGTGGGGAGCCCAGGCTGGTAGCCTCCTAATTCCCCAGGAGAGTCCATCCCAGCAGCCCTGCTGGCCCCCAACCAGGGAATGGGCTGGGGCTCCAAGGAGCAGCGTCCGAGCGCCCTCTCCAGAGCCCTCTGGACCTGGGTCTTTTGCCAGCAGCTCCATCCCCAGCGCTTCCCCTGGCCAGGTCCTGTGCTGCAGCTTCACTGACCCACACTCCCCGAGCAGCCTAGGTGCCCACATGTGGAGAGATGAGCATGGGTGCTGAGAGGGTGGCCTGAGAGGAGCAGGGGCAGCGTTCACCCACAGGGCCACCTGATCCACACTGGCCCTGTGCTGCCATCCCTCCAAGGGCTGCCACTCCTGGGTCCCAGGGCACTGCTGCTGCTCATTAATGCTGTGCCTGGGCTGTGGCATTCCGGCCATCAGAGGGCCCCTCAGACCCAGGTCTGTGGACCAAGGCCACAGCCTCTTGGGCAGCTCCAGATGGCGCTACAGCCCCAGCAGCCTGGCACCACACCATGTTAGGGAAGTCCCACTAGAAGCAGAGCGATAGTGTCCAGAACCCCACACCCCAAGCGCTCTGCCAGCCACAGAGCCCAGGGCTACTCTCACCCGGCGAGTGCCCAGCCACCTCCGGAGCAGCGGGTTTCCCTCTGTATATCAGGAGAGGGGAGGGCCTGAGTCCACTGTTCCCCGCTGTGTTTCCCCGCTGGTAGGAAAGGACCTCAGTCCCCACAGATCTACAGGGGCTCCCCAGGCTCTGCACCTCCTTCCACACGGGCTCTCGGCGCCATCTTGTGTTGCCAGAGAGTCACTGTCTCAGCAGGGCCTGGGCCTCCCAACATGCCAGGTCCCCGAGCTGTCCCGTTGTGATGTCATTCACTGGGGCTGCTCACTTGAGAAGCCAGTCATTCACACAGCAGGTGCCTGAGCCCAGTCCTTCCTCAGTGCCATGGGTCACTGCCAACTCCTGGGCCCTCCCAGTGCAAGGGGAGGGCCCTGGGCACCGGGCAGTCTAGGCTTGTTTCTGTCTGGCCCTTGACTAGACTGTATTGATTTTTTTGTGGAGGAAATTTACCTTCTCAATTGTTCTATAGTCCTACTAATAAAATGTCAAGCACCACCCCTGCCTAAACTCCTACCCTTGCAAACTGAGGTAAAAATGCTAACTTCTCCAGGCCGTGACTATTAGAAAGAGTGCAGCTGTTCACACTTATAATTCCAGCTATGCAGGAAGCTGAGGCAGGAAGATCCCCCAAGTTTAAGGCCACCCTGAGCAACTTAGTGAGACCCTGTCTCAAAATAAAATTTTCAAGGGCTAGAGGTATAGCTCAGTGGTAGAGCACTTGCCTAACATGCACGAGGTCCTGGGTTTGATCCACGGTATGGGCTGCAGGGTAGGGACTTAGCTTAACAAGTGCTCATTAAATGATTTATATTCTTTCAAAATAATGTGCCCAGTTGAGCCTTGCGTCGAATGCTGAAGGGCTGGGCTCAGTCTCTATAACACACAAATTTTAAACAGAAAGTTAGCCTCTGCTGCAAATCATGCAGACCACATGACCACAGGGACCCTGTGCTGCTTCTCCCTCAGAGCTTCGTCTCTTCTCCCGCAAGAGCTGACGTGTCCTTCTTCCCCTGTGTCTGTTTCACTCAAACCCCCACCCCAGCTGCCTTCTCTACTCTACCTCACGTGGGTGGCCCGATGACCCAGGCTTCTCCTCCGACGTTCATCTGAGGCCTGAGTGCCAGTGCTGCCCCCGGCCATCTTGCTATGACCCCCACTGGACTCTGTTCAGGGCCTGCCCCTTCTGCAGCCAGACAGCAGGCCTTGGCCCTGTCCCTTGCCTGCCGTGTGACCTCCAGTGAAGTCTTGAAACCCGGCATGCTTCCGTTTCCTCACCTATAAACTGAACACATGGGGGTCGCTCTCCCCAAGGTCCACTGGGGAGGGAGCGAGTGGCTGCTGCTGCGGCTGGAGGTGCCTCTCGTCCCAGTCAGGGCTTCACATCTTCTGTCGCTCACAAGGGCTGGGGAAGAACTCCAGGCTCCCGTCCAGTATCCACGGGAAGATGGGTGCAGGGGGTTCCTTTCCAGAACAGAGCAGAATTGAAGCATAGTGGGCAGTGACGAGCACACAGGGCAGAGGAAAAGGTGCGGCCTAGAACCTCGGCACCAGCAGTGCCCGGGCCTGCCATCCACCCAGGCACGTCCCCCTGCAGCAGGCACATCTCCCCACAGCAGGCACCACACGGCTTGTCACACATCACCACCGCCTCCCCCCCAGACTCTGCTCATTGGCCACCCGGGTCCTCCCCCACGCCCCTCCAGGCAGCCTGCGAAGCCCCCCAGCCCCAGGCCCTGCTGTAGCCTCATCCTGCCGCCTCAGCCAGTCCAGCAGACGGGCTGAGCGCCTCCCTGTCTCGGTCACCCACAGCCTCCTGCTCACTCTCTGCTTGTTCTAAAGACCATGGCCTTGGGATCATGGCCTTTCTCCATGTCCCCGGTCCTGCCTCAGCCAGGGGACTCTACTCCCCACACAGAAGGCCCACCAGACCTGTCCAGCACCTGGGCCTCAAGTCCTTTAAAGTCCTCAACCCTTGGCTGTGTCCCAAACTCCTCTGTCTCCCAGATCTTAGGCCCCAGTACCCAGCTCCCTCTGCCTGTATCTCCTTCCCCAGGCCCCGAGTCCACAGCCACCCCCCATCCCTCCAGCCACCGTGCTCCTCTCCCATCTCCCCCTCCTCCCTGGGCTGCTGGGTTTCATGGAATCTGCATACTGGGCTGCTTCTGCTCCCAGGTGGCATCTCCAGCTTCCCTGAAGTCCCTCATTATGCTTCCCAGCCCTGCCTGGCCCTCGGGCCCAGTGCCGGTGACTTCCCGTCACAACTTCATTYTCTCCTCCTGCCTTCCCCTGGAGGACAGAAGATGCATCGGCCACCTGGAGCCCACACCTGGCCCCCTCCCTCCTCCACCCCACTCAGATCATCCTCACCTTCCCAGCAGCCAGCTCACTCTCTCTGTCACCTCCCCTCAGTGCAGGGACAGCATCTGTGAGCTCAGCCCTGGACTTGCCCTCAAGAAGCCAACCCGCCTCTCCCCTCTTATGCTCAGCCTCTTAGGGCGTGACCCCTGCTGGCCACCCCAGCTTCCCAGGGTCTGCCTGCCACAACCTCACGTCTCTAGCCCCCTCCTAACCAACTGCATCCAAGGGACATCTGGGTCCTTGCCACATACTCCTCCTGCAGCATCTGATGCCTCCCTCAGCCCCTCTGGGATGCCACCATGCCCTGGCTGTCCTCCCAGCCCTCTGTGGCCCTCGTGGCCTCTCCCTGGGAGCACTATTGTGTGCTGGTGTCCACCACGGTTCTTTTCTGACCCCTCACCTTTTCCTTGTCGTTGGCTTCTAGATAGCGTCTATTCCTATGGTCCCCTAAGGCCCTCTGTGACCCAAACTGTCCTCCTGAGCTACTTGGTTAAAATCCTTCCATTTTCACCCATTGCTGTCAGCGCAGAGGTCAGCCTGGGCCCGCCCTGGCCCTGCCCACGCACAGCTTCTTGTTCTGCATCGCCTTCTACCACCACTGCCCACTGTGCGCACGCTCATGCACGCATGCACAGTTAGCACAGCTCACGCTGTCCTGTTCCACGCTGCTCTGCTGTCCAACAGTCCTCTCTGTCTCACGGCCAGCATTTTCTGGTTACTCCCTCCTGTCCTTTAAGATCTCTCYCCAGCAAAGCACAGCCCCTTGGCCCACCCCAGTCCAGCCCATTGCCGTCCCTCCGTGTCCCTCCACAGCACCTGCAGCTGCCTCCCTGTCCCACTCCACTCTGGACATCCATCTGGATCCTTCTCTGCAGCCCCCATTGAATTGTCAGATTGTGCAGGGACAGCCAGGGACCCCATGTGACGTCAGAGAAGGGCCCCTGTTGTGTGTGTGTCTGGGATCAGCATGGTTCTAGTGCAGGCACGTGGAGGTGCCCTCCACACAGCACCGGCAGGCTGGTGACACACCGTCACCCTTACGCAGGGGGCCAGGGCACCGAGCTGCCTGGCTGGGGACTTTGGCCTCACTCTGGTGTCTCTCCCCACAGCCTACATGAAACGAAGGCACAGCTCCGTCAGCGACAGCCAGCCCTGTGAGCCCCCCGCGGTGGGCATTGACTACAGCCAGGGCGCCAGTCCCCAGCCACAGCACCAACTGAAGAAGCCCCGMGTGGTGCTGGCTCCCGAAGAGAAGGAGGCTCTGAAGCGAGCCTATCAGCAGAAGCCATACCCGTCACCAAAAACCATCGAGGAGCTCGCCACCCAGCTCAACCTGAAGACCAGCACCGTCATCAACTGGTTCCACAACTACAGGTATGGCCTGCTGCACCCTGGAATCCCAAGCCCTCTGCGTGGGTGGGTGGGGGTTCCATGTTGTCTGATGGGCAGTTTTAACTCCAAGGCTGAAGGGCCAGCTCCTTCCGATCAGTGTCACATAGTCACAGTCCACATCTACTGTGACCAGGAAAATGTTACCTCTCAACGGTATCATTCAGCAAGGGACAGCGTAGGCAATTATTAGGGCCCCTGGTAGTGAGCGTTTCTTTCATGGTAATTTTGTGTCTTCTCAGGATCTTTAAAGTATTGTTTTCAAAATCAGCTTGATTCGTTTTGTAACGAAATAGCTGAGAACCTTCCTAGGGAAAGTTCAAGAGTTGACCAGGATTTCCTGAGTGGCCACTAGGTCTGAGTGAGTGTTTTCACCAACGTCCCACCCTTGGTCCTCACAAGCACATGGGTGTGGGGCTGTCTTCATTCTGCAGAGAGCTCGAGGAGGCTGAGCAGGTGAGGGCCCGGGGCTCTGCAGGCAGAGAAACCCACTGAGGGACCCTGAAGGACCCTGAGCCAGAGCTACAACCACACTCCTACTGCTAGCAACTAGGAGTCCCAGAACCTGCTAGACATTGCTGGATTAGTACCTTATAAGTGCCATCTCTATTGCTGGTTTTCATGGAAATGTCATTTTCTCTGTGGCTCAATAAAACTGGAKCAGGCACTTCTGTGTGGCCAGGGCAGGTGGGGATCTCACAACTGCTCACCCGAAACAAGTGGCAGCAGCAGAGGATCACAGGCCCCTGGGGACCCGAGGGAGGAGTCTCTGGCTGGGCCTCCCCCACCCATAAGTTCTGCTTGGGTCTCTAAAGGGCCAGTAAACCACCCGGGTTCTGCATAAGRAGGGGAATTTTAAAATAGGAGCCAAACGGCACTGTGATTACTAGGGAAGGCTGAGTCACGAGAGGGCCCGAAAACCTGCCACCAGAGCACTCAGGCCAAGCAGACTGCTCCAGCCAGGCAGCACTGGCCCCGGGCTGTCTCCTCGAGGACAGAGAAAGTACAGGGACACTACACAAACAGCACATTCACCCCAGGTTCACCCGTCAGATCAAAACAGGCAGACGGAGGCCAGCAGTTAGGGTCCTGTTGCTCCCCGACCATGAAACAGAGGAGAGCAAATGGAAATGTGGGCCAGGTTTGCTGACCCTGCCAGGGTCGGGCAGTGCCTCTGCAGGTCTGTCATAGTCCCATGAGGAGCCTGACTCTCAGTGTCATGTGGAAGCCCTGGCGCTCTAGAGGGCTAAGGATCTGGATGCAGGTGCTTCGAGCCCACAGACCATCTTGAGCCGTTCCCCTGCCCTGCTGGTGACTTCTCCCAGAGCCCACCWCTGGCCTCCTGGCCAGGCATGCTCCTCAGGTTCCCCAGCTGCTGTCCCATGGCTTGCCAGCCTCTGACAGCCACACTAATGCCCATCCCATGGTGGCCAGCCAGTCATTGTGGACATCTTCTCTTTTGCACTTAGCAAAAGCAAATTCAACCACCCACCCTTGGCAGAAACAGGGGGAGGGGGGAAAGCAGCAGGGCTTCTGAACTGTGACAATGAGCCTTCATGTCATGCACAACAAAGTGGCTGGGCCAAGTGGAGACCAAGGGCCACGACACGTTCAGCCACCAAGATCTGGAGGAGGGGCAAGAGGGGCAGGGCTGCACATGAGGACTCAAGTAGGAGAACTGGATAAATTAAGTCCTGTGAATTAGAAGCCAGCGCCAGGTCCTTTCAGATGGCCGGCTGGGACGCAGCTCAGTGGTAGAGCACCTTCCAGCATGTGTAGGCCCCGGGGTTCCACATCCCACCAAAAAATAAAGGCCCAAGGTTCAGAGAGCCGAGTCCCTCRCCTGCAGCAGGCAAACTTGAAAGCCGAGGTTCTCCCAAGTACTCTCCCTGGCTTCAGGTAACTCTCCCTAGAGACCCTCAGCACTGACCAGCTGGCCCTGGGTAAGCCACCAGGCTCACTGCAAGAGCTGGCCCATGCCCTAAGTGTGTTAAAATCCTAAGGTAGGTTTTGACCTGCCTTCCAAGGGGTCAAACAGGGAAAGTTGATTTTCTCTGTTCCACTGGGACCCTCACTTGGGGTCCGTTAATGCCCTCATCCAGCTTTTCCCTTATCTTATCCTGAGGAAATTAGAAATATCTCAAGCTGACCCTGTCCCCAGGAATGCAGAACACACCAAGGACACTGGCCTGCTCTGGAACAACAGGTTCACTCAGTGGAAACTGCTGATCCTTAAATGCCATGGCATCTGCCAGCCTGTGCGACTTGTCAAAACTAGAACCAGGGCTGGGGATTAGCTCCGTGGACTTCGTGTTCAATCCCAGCACCCCAAATAATAAATTATGTTTTAAAAAATAGCCAGGCATGGTGGCACACACCTGTAATCCAAGCAACTGGGGAGGCTGAGGCAGGAGGATCACAGTTCAAGGCCAGCCTCAGCAACTTAGTGAGACCCTGTCTCCAAATGAAAAAAAGAAAAAACAAAAATAGAACCACTCCTAGAACCTCATCTTTCTACATGGAAGATAATATTCCTAATTCTAGGTTTTTGGTTTTGCCGTGCTAGGGATTGAACCCAGGGCCTCATGCACACTAGGCAAATTCTCTACCTCTAATCTGTTCCCCAGCCCAAGAAAATATTCCTTATGAACATGGAGACAAGTCTTAAGCGGAGAAGGATGAGTCTCTCTCCTATCTGTTGAGCACATCTCATTTGCCAAACACTGGGCCATGCGTTTAGTAGCTGTTTCATCTCATGACGTCTTCCAGCCAGCATTGAAGGAGGGCCTCTGGCCCTTTTTACAGAGAAGGGTCCCAGGAGTCAACCAAGCTGCAAGTGTAAAAGCCAGGGCCCATGCCCCAGGCGTCAGCCTGCCTTCCTGCCAGCCCTGGCCCCGCTACCTCACGCTCAACTGTGTGTCTTCTCTCCTGTAAGAGGCAGCTGGGCAGTAAGAAGAGTTACAGTTCCTGTTGGTCTACTTTGTGTCCAATATTACACATCTAATACCTTATTTCATCTTTATAACTGCTCAGCAAGGAAGAAAGTGTTCTCTCACTTTTTCAGATAAGAAAACTAAAGCTTAAAGGTCAAACTGTCTTGTCCAAGTTGCTCGTCCAGTGCAGAGCCAGATTGCAAACTTGGTTCCAAGATGCCTGCACTCTGTTTGGGGCCTGGCAAGAACCAAACCATAGCTGCCTGTCACCTCCTAACAGGGCCGGGTGGTACTGGCTGCTCACCCGCCAGGCCTTCTCRCTGCCAAGGGGCTTGGAAGCCAGTCAAGAGCAGGGCCGCCCTCCCAGCACAGCACCAGGACTGATCATGGCAGCTGCCATTCCCAGGCCCCCCTGGTTGTCCCAGGGAAGGGGGGGAATCTTGTTTCCCCAGAGAACTTGCTGGGGGCTTCTCAGAACCCTGCCTTTTGAACCATATCTCAAGAATCTTAGGATAAGATTCTGAGCTCACTCATGTGCACGAAGCAAATAGCTGCAGAACAGGTTGACAGATGCCCCCAGAGTTCTGATGTCCTGGACAGAACCGCAGCTGTCCGCTTCCTGGCTCCACGAGGCCCAGGTGCAGGACCTGGCTGACCGCAGGCTTTCCAGACTATCCCCTTTATTGAGTCATAAGCACCACAGAAAACCTCCCATGCATGCCTAACCCTGGGGCTTGGTGCAAGATGCTGGCTTGGTGCTAATTTGCCCAACAAGGCTTTTCCAACAGTGGACATTTGCACATTTTTCAGAGGCTTTTTCAGCCCTCTGGAGAAATGCCTGGAGAGAAGGCCTGTGGAGGCTCATACTGTGAGTGTGGTGGGAAGAAGAACAGGTGCCCTTTCATGGCACCACCAAGGGTTCCAAAGCAGGGAAGACCATGGCTTCCAATGCCAGTTCTTTCTTAAAGGGAAGACACACACACACCCACCACCTGCAGTAGGTAGCAGCAGTTCAGTACAGTACCCGAGCATGTCTTCTACTGTAGGTGGAGAAGGCTGGGTTAAGACCTGCGTAAGCTGGGGTGCAGCTCAGCGGCAGAGTGCTTGCCCAGCATGCACAAGGTCTTGGGTTCGATACCCAGTACAGCAAAAGGGAAAAAAACTGCTTGAACAGTTGGAACATATTTGGTGCTCTCTGTTGGATCAAGTGTCCATTTCCTCACCTTCTCCATTCAGAGAGGAGATTTGGTTCGAAACACAATTTGGAGACCAACAGAGTAGAAGGATACCAGGGAGAAAGAAGGAGAGGAGGAAGAAAAGGGGAGGTACTGGAGAATGAAAGTGACCAAATTATGTTACATGCGTGTATTAATGTCACAATAAATCTCATTATGTATATTTTAGTGCACCAATAAAAAAGAACAAAGTGGGGCTGCAATTGTGGCTCTGTGCTTGTGGCTCAGCGGTAGAGCACTTGCCTTGCACATGAGGCCCTGGGTACGATCCTCAGCACCACATAAAAATAAGTAAATAAAAATAAAGATATTGTGTCCATCTACAATTAATGTTTTTTTAATTTAAAAAAAAAAGAATAAATTGAAAAAAAGTATACAATTTGGTGATCTCTTACTAGAAGCCCCTGACCTTCTGCGGCTTAGAGCTTGAAGTGGAAGATCCCCACTTTGGGCGCTGACCATTAACTGGTTTTCTCCCACGAGGTCCTGGTGAGGACAGTGGGTACCATTCAGTGTCCTTTATTAATTAAGCCAGCACATATCACGGTGGCCAAGCACCATGCCAGGTGAACTGAAACAAAGGAACCCGGCCTTTCGCAGTGCAGCTGGGAGAGGAAAGGCGCCTTTGAATAAGCCCCGGCTCCAACCCTAGGACCTCACTGGGGCTTGGGGTGCAGGTGCCCAGGGGTGGCGCCGGCTGCGGAGGGCGGCTCAGATCCCGCAGTCCCCGCCTCACGGCTCTCGCCGCTTGTGTCTTGTAGGTCTCGGATCCGCAGAGAGCTCTTCATCGAGGAGATCCAGGCCGGGAGCCAGGGCCAGGCAGGCGCCAGCGACTCGCCGTCGGCCCGGAGCGGCCGCGCCGCGCCCAGCTCGGAGGGCGACAGCTGCGACGGCGTGGAGGCCGCCGACGCCGAGGAGCCGGGCGGCCCCGCGGCCGCCGCCAAGTCTCAGGGAGGGCCGGCCGAGGCGGCCTCGGCCCCGGCGCCGCGGGAGGAGGCGCCGCGGCCGGCGGAGAGGGCGGAGCCGCCGCCGCCGGGGACCCCGGGCCCGGACGACGCCGACGACGCGGGACGGCCCCGGCCGCCCGAAGGCCCCGACGGCCCGGCGCCCGTGCCAAACCCCGCTGCCGCGCCCGCGGCCGGGGAGGACGCCGCTACCTCAGCCGCYGCGCCCGCAGAGGGCCCCGGCGCGGCCCGGGACGGCGCCGAGCGGAGTTGCGCCTTGCCAAGCACCAGCGCGCCCGCGGCCGCGCGCAGGCCCAGCTCGCTGCAGAGCCTCTTCGGCCTGCCCGAGGCGGCGGGCGCCCGGGACTCGCGGGACAACCCCCTGCGCAAGAAGAAGGCCGCCAACTTGAACAGCATAATCCACCGCCTGGAGAAGGCCGCCAGCCGGGAGGAGCCCATCGAATGGGAGTTCTGAGGGCGCCCGCCGGCCTCGCCCGGGCCGCGGCCGCGGAGCGCCTGCCCAGCCCGGCCAGTCCGCGAGGGCGGCGCGCCGCAGGACCGCGCTGCGCACTTACCGCCCTGCGGGCCACAGGGCAAAATCGCCATAGGCCAAGGTGCATATAGAAAACAAAGGAGCATTAAGCCCAATCTATGTCGTGTTTTCAAGGAAGAAAACGGAAATGTGTAGTCGAGCTTTTTTGTACCCTGAAGTGTTTTTTTTATTGCCCTAAGTGATTTCCACAGGTTCTGGAATAACTCTTACAGCTTTGCCTTGCGCCCTCCTCTTTCGTGTGGGCTTAAAAAAAAAAAAAATCAAACCCACATATTAAAAGGGGGCTTTTTATCTGCCATCTGATGGCTTCAGAGCGATAATACACTATTATCTTCTTAAACCAGGAAAAGGGTGGGGGGGGATTTTTCAGAAAAATTAAAAAAGAAAGTTTTTGTAGCTGTTCAGTTGCCACTAAGAGATTGCACAGTCAAACCGACTCTAAACACACTAGTTTGGATTCCTAAATATTTTCAAGAAAAGAATCTTCTCGTTTGAAACTTTGACTTAAAATAAAACACATTTACTCCACATATTTTTTAACAAAAAAGAAAAGTCACATCAGGAAAATATCTGATTTTGTGGTAGCTGACCGTAGTGTTTTCTCGTAYGTGAATAGAATCCTGACATGTAGTGCACATTGATCCATAGCTTTAACTGACCCTGGGCTTTTGCCGACCAGGGTTTGTTTAATACACTCCATTCTAGGCCAAATCAGGACAAAAAGAAAAGATCCGAATCTAGGTATTTTATAATCTGCTTTTTAACCTCTAACCGCAGAGCACGCTGATCAGACCTCATATCTGGGAGGTTTAGGAGACAAGTTAGAACTGTAGCATGTACCCATTCATTTTGTTAATTTATGGAGTCCTGTCTGTGTTCGTGCGTCCGCCCATGTACGAGCATTGAGAGAAAGGGAAGAGTAGGCCGACATGGTGGCGGCAGGCAGTCCTGGGCCAGGCTGGCCCGCCGTGCAGCACTCCGCACTGGGCACCTCACTTCCCACCACCGCCCTGGCTCCCATGGGAAGGGGCGGCCTGGGCCTGGGCCAGGCTGGTGCCCACGCGCGCTCTTTCCCCTTCTTCCCACCACAAGCACTGATGACCCCATGGAACTCGTGGGAAGCTTCCTTCCCTGCAGAAGAGAATGTGGCAGTCTGGGCTGCGCTCCCACCCCTGTAGAGAAGCCCACACTCGCACACAATGCTGATGCTCTTCACTTCCAGACCAGACCATTGGCCCTTCATCCATTTCGCCTCTTGGAAGGTTCTTTTATGCACAGTTTAGGGCAGTCTAAGTACAAATCAAAAGTCTAACTTGTCTCGGATTCCTCCTGTTGTCTATGTGTATACGCGTGAGAATAGAGGTGGATGAGAGTGTGCGTGCGTGCGTGTGTGCAATTTTATACGTCTGTGTATTTTCTTAAGTACCTGTGCACACATAGAGTGCATTACTGCCACCTTTTTCAATAAGCTGTTTATCAGTTATGGCTTCTACAAGTTTGCTAATTTAGACTCCTTTATTGCCATATCTTTAAACTAACAATAGATGATTTCGGTATATATATATATTTTTTTTTGCTTATTTATAGGTGCTGTATTTTATTATCTGATTGTTAGGAAGGGATGAAAGGGGCAAATATTCTTTAGAGGGATAGACTGCCGGCAGTATTGGGTATAATTTACAAGATGTAGTTGTCATACTGTATATTACTGATTGAAAACTTTTTGACCGTATTGTGTATCATTGAAACCTTTGTCTTAGGTCAACATCTTTGGATGACATTTTAATGGTGCATTCATTATTTCTTAAGTTTAATTAATATTACTTTTTTGATTTGGGGGGGTGGGAGGGAGTTCTAATTCTAAAGGTATGCTCCCGCTATTACACCTCAGTGTGCTTGTTATTACTTAACGTGTAGGACTTTGTAAGATGTGAAACCACATTTCTTGCATGATGTTTTAGAGATTATGTATTTCATTTACAGTCTTTTAACCTGCAGCTGCAGCACTTAGTTCAAGTTTTCACAAATTTAAGAGTCACTACACTAAAGACAATGCCTTTTCATGAATAAGAAGTTCTCAGAAGGCTCTAGGAGGCTGGGAGGCAGGCCCTTTGTTTGTCTTTGGATGGTTGCGTCATTTCTGAACTTTAAATCTGGTTCAGTGAGAAGAGAAGTCACAATGGAGGAGCTTAAGGGGAATGATTGACATCGGCTCAATGCAGGTGCGCGGAGAAGAGTGCGTTCACACCAGGGACCTTGAGGACAGTGAGGAGCAGCAGAGCAGCTGATGGTACTGTGGTGTCCCCTCCACAAGAACCTCAAGGGAACATTGTCACATGTGTGATGAATCTCTGAATATCCACTTTTCATTAGAAAGAAAAGCAGGGAGTAGGTGGGAGCCGCTGGGCCAGTGCTTCGGTTCTAAAGGCGTGACTGTTATTCACCAGGTGTTGAGGCCAAGGAATTGCAAAGTCTAGATCTGTCCATCCTTGTGGCCCCATGTGACGGCCTACAGCAGCCACTTGAGCTCTTCCGAGCAATTCAGTCATTTGGGTTTGTTTCCTTGGTTGCGCTGGGCTCCCGCTGACTTCCACCTCGTCTTTTCTGCCAGACTTACATCTGGGTGCTCGATACAATCAGCTGGTTAGTTGGATTTTGCTTGCAGTTCCACGTTTGTATTTTTTCCTCTATTATTTATTTTTTTTAATTGAGATTCCAACCTCTGGTCTTTTGTGTTAACTTAGTTCTGTCTGTGATACTTCTAGGAGCTACCGCTCAATAACACAGACACCTGTGGAGTGGGGCTCAGCACCCCCCCCCCCCGGCCAGCCCCTCCGTTGAGTCTAAGGTTCATCTTTCATCTTGATAAGCAATATTCAAGTGCCTTGAACAGCGCCCCTTCGTGCGGTGACCTTCTGGCAGCTGGCGATCCAAACAGTGGCTCACACAGGCAGCCKACCCTCCTCCTCTTTATGCTCTATCAGCTTAAAAAGCTGATTTGTACCTCTCCCTGGGGGAAACGGTTTCATAGAAAACACTAACACTTAATTACAAGCTCCATTATTGCCATTTTAAATGGCTCCTTTCTGTTAATGGGAGGTGGCTTTCAGAGCTTCAGTTTCCTGCTGAGCAGAGGCCAGACCTAAAAGTAGTGCTGGCTTCTGGCCCCTTGACCTTGCCTCCCATCCAAGTCCAAAGTGGCAGTCCCAGACTGCTCCCCACCACCGCCACCTCAGCCTTGTGGATCAGTCAGGAAGTCTGGTTTCTGTCCTCCAGGCCTCTCTGAGGAAGAGAGCTGGACTTGACTGTCCTCACCAACCTGTCTGAGGCACGTGATGACCCATAGCATCTGGTGGTCGTGCCCTGGGATGCAGGCTTGGGAGAACCTTCCAGAAGTGCCCAGGCACCGTGTGCGCTGGCAGACCACAGCACTCCTAAAGTAATCAGGCGAAAGAGAACGGCGCTCAGCCTCCCTGGGACACCTCCTGTCCCTCCAAAGCACAAAGGCCTCCTGCCCAGCAACCTTCCCAGTGGCTTCTCCTTCCTCCCTATTTTTTTAAAAGACCCCCTGTCTGATGTGGGCAGTCAGGTATGGTTGGTGATCCACACCCAGGGCTCACCAGAGCCTCTGTCCTCTCATGGTAGCCAAGAGAGCCCCCCGCCCCTGCCTGCCCGCCGCTGCCACCACCACCACCCCCAGACCCACGTGGGCAGCTCTCCTCCCCATCTGCCATCTCAGCCAGGGCCAGGGCCTGTCATGCAGCAGACCAGGCAGGAGGCAGGTTGTATCTTAGGAGCTGGTGGGGATCCTGGGTGATGGCCAGCTGCCCTGAGATCACGCAGAGGCGATGGCCTCAGAGGGATGGGCCAGGGCCACCCGGCAAGCTCCATCACCTGCAGGCGCCTTCCCCAGTGCAGTTGGCCCTCCTCTGTTCTTCCATCCCATCCTTCTCGGGTGACCGTGAACTCTGGACATTCTATGCAATGTTTCTTGTTCCTCTCATTTTACAAAACCAAATCTCACTGAAAAGTGGCAGGGGAGCCCAGGGGACATGCAGGTTCCTTCTTAGCACAAAGTGAAGTGGAGGGGTCACCGGCGAGACCTGGAGCCTTTGCCTTAACTGCATTGTGACAGGCACTGGTAGGAGCAGACATCTGCCTGCGGTCCTCCTGAGGCCTGCAAGCTCGCTGTGCAGGGGCAGCAGAGTGACCTGGGAGGAGGCCTCGACACCCAAGGCTGGAGCTTGGCTGCCACCGCCAGGCCGCCTCTGTCCCTGGCTGGATGCCCCTCATCTTCACACTCCTCCTTTGTCCCCTTCTACCTCACTAACCTGTGCCCTCCCCTTGACATCACTGCTCAGAATGCGAGGTCAGCATCGTGCCTGGCAGCCACGCCTTTCACCTCTACTTTTGCAAGGACGTCAGGGTGGGGGACTCTGCAGGGTGCGTGGGTTTTCCCACCGCTCTCACCTGTCCTGTGCGGTGTCCTCTGCAGACAGGGTGGTTCTGGCCTCAGAGGACCTTGACTTTGGTTTGCCTTTGCTTTCTGCTGCTGTGAAGTCTGTCACAGCCGTCCCCCCTTGCCCTGGGCTGCCCAGATGGCCACGTGAGCAGCTTCCCCAGGACTCTGCAGCTGTCTGTGTCCTGTCTCTGGCTCTGGGGCCACGACCTGGCTTCACTGCGAGCTCTTGTTGGCAAACACAGACATCTCCAGGGCAGGGAGGATGCCTGGCTCTCTCCAGCTTGTGGGGCTGGTTCCGTTTTTGTTTTGTTTTGTTTTGTTTTGTTTTGTTTTTCTGTCTGTCTTTTCAAAAGACTATGCCAGTCTCTGTTCAGGGCAGAAGAAAACTGGCTGGCCCCCAGGGCAGCTGGTCAAATGTGGGTCCGCCCGCTCTGGCTACTCTGATGGCCAAAACATTCAGATGGAAGTGGGAGCCAGGAGCTGTGTCCCTACCATGTGCCTGGTGGCTTACCAGGAAAAAGTGCTGCCACCACTTCAGTGTCACCAGGGCACTGGCAGCGAAGGGAAAGGCCTTGTGACCACCAGGACAAGGTGACAGCCTGGCCTTCCAACACATGCTGTCTGGCCAGCACACTTCAGGCTAAGAGAACAGTCCGATCTTACTTTCATTCCCATCAGTTTTACCTTTTTTATAGATGAAAACTGCCAGGAAAATAAGTCCCCAGGTCAAGTTCCAGAAAGATGCAGAACACTTTAGGGCCTTGCGGGTCAGTYGTGGTGGAAGAAGTGAGCAGAGGACGTAGAATGAGCCCCGGCCACAGAAGCCCTGACCAGGGAAGTAGGACAGACGGCTCCCTCCGCCCACCTCCGGGACCCACCCTGCCACCCAGCGCCCTGCCTCTGCCACCTCCCCTCCAAAGATCTTGTGTCCACACTGTCAGTGGCATCTCAAGTTCTCATTTTTGGATGAAGTGACATTTAGCTTTAACGAGACATTTCCAAGGCGCCTAGTCTCCTCCGAAATGCTAACTTTAAAAGTTCGGCATCGTAGGCAAAGAATCCTGGGAAAGGCTAGTGGGAGACAGACCCCAGGCACCTCGAGTGCGCCCGCCGTCCCTGCTGCTCGGCCTCCAGAGCCTTGAGTCGCTCCTCACAGGTGGTTTTAGTTGATCCGTGATGTTAAYGCTGTAGTCTGTGTTACTGTGGTTTCTGTAGTGTTTGGGCTTTAATTTCTACCACAAGATTTGCTGTATGCTATGTATCAAGCTTTCTGTGATCAGAAAGGAAAGGTGCCTTAAATCCCAATGTCACGGCTCTATCCCTATGGAAAAATCCAGAAGCACAGTGTGCGGAAGTCAGCGCTGGGACTTCCGGCAAACAAGACACCCTTCAGCAAGACTTCATTGAAGTGGCCCGGGGCTGCTTTTCTTTTGTGATTCCTGCTCCCCCCTTTTTCTTCTTTTGTTGTTTGGTAGTTTGCTTTAAACAGAAAGCACTTAAATAGATGACTATGTATAAGCTCTGTGCAATAGAAATCATGTTTCTTCATTTTTTAAAAGCGTATTGCACACCAAATGAACTCAAAAGTAAGCTTTAGACAGGTGGATCCAGGTGTGGATGAGGATGTTCACTGTAGTTCTGTGTCTTGGGGAACCGAGGGGAAACAGGCCGCAGTCTCCCCAAGCAGCGCCGCCCAGGCGGGGCAGGTGGGGCGCCTGGGATCCGCAGCTGAGAACCTTCCCGAGTGTCTGAGCCCACAGCCGAGACCCAGCACTTACCCCTGTCTTGTTGAAATGGCCTGACTGCTACTGACCTGCCAGCGTGCACGAGGATAGCTATAAAAGGATATTTCCTTGAGAAAAAAAAAATTATTCCTACCTATCCTCTTCTATTTATTATTAGGTTAATCATTGGAGTAATTATCAGGAGTGTGTTGTTGTTTTGTGTTGTTGTTGTCGTTACGAATGCTTTTTGCTGTCACTCCAGTGGTTACTGTCCTCTGCTGCCCCCTCGCCCCCAGAGAACCCAAGAGCCTGGGGGTGCTGGGGGAGCCGAGGGGGTTTCTCCTGCAGAATCACAGCCACCTCCTGAGTAGCCACTCGAAAACTGGGCTTGACTGTGTAAACGAGAGTCGGACYACAGCCGCAGTACAGGGAGTGTGAGCCAGGGCACTCGGGGAGGAGCTGCTGGGGGGGCTTAGGAGAGCCAAGTTCAGTTCCCCAAAGCCTCCTAGAGCCTCTGTTAAGACTTCTGGCTTCATGAAGGTTTGGCGAGTCCTGGCCAGAGAGGGCACAGGGGCCTGGCCTGGACCATCACCTCCAGCAAG